CCTCATCCACCCAAGCAGCTGGGACTACATGAATGAGCCATTGTACCTGGATGTATTTTTAAAATATTTTTATAAATAATCTTATAAACAACCTGAAATTCACAGCATAGTAAAGTGTGATTAACATGTTCAACAACAATTGTGTTATGCAAACAAAAGGTCCTTTTCCTTTTACATACAGGACGTGTTTAAATAATACTTCTATCAATGGAGAAAGATATAGAAAACTTGTATTTTCCCCATAAAATGCAGAAACACATGTGTAACTAAACCTTAAAATAAAATTTACATTTCAGTGTAAATTTCCCGGAAGTATAAATATCATAGTTCAAGTTGGTACTTACTTTATATTATTTTTAAACTGAGAGTTATTTTTTTTTCAGCTTTAATTGAGTTTATTGGTACATTTTAGGGATACAGTACAGTTACATTCATTGTTGGGATCTTGTACCTCTACATGACAAGTCTTGATTCTCATTTTTTCCCCTTACCTCTGCCCTCCCTTCACCCCCTCCTCCCCTCCCCATCTACAAACACTTTATTTTCATCTTTTCATTATCTCACATTTTTTTCTTTTCCCTTATTACTCTTCCCCTACCCATCCCACCTTCCCTACACCTTTAGCTCCTTTCTTCCCATTTCTAAAGGTCAGTAATCTTATTAGGATCTTATGTATGTTACTTTTAATCATTTAGAAATTATGTTATCTAACATTTTATAGATAAGGTGTAGCTAAGGTATTCACTCAAACAAATCTATACATGTGGTGTTTCAGTGAGTTTCACACTATCTGAAAACAATTCATGTTCAATTATGACAATAATTACCAGACAATAATTTCTGAATGGGATCCTTGAATTAATCCTTGGACTCTGGAATCCCACATCAACCCAAGATCACTAGGAATCTTCAATCTGTGCTTTGTGAGTAGCAGAGAACTGCTAGTACTTTGTGTATAGGTAAACAGCCCCTGACAGTGCATGCCCTTAAAGCACTACAAAGTCATATGTGATTGCTGGAAGGGACAGTACAGTAGCAATGACAACATCTTGAGTTGAAATACTTCCAGGTCACTTGGTCTATGAAATTTCTAGTATGGGGGGGGGGCCTGAGCTTCCCTCAGCTCAAGAATAATGCCACCTTTGATCCATAGAAATGGGAAAAAAATGGAGCTTTTCTGTTGCAAGTGGGTTTTAAATTATTTCTGCATTAATAGTTAATGCACATGCAGACCAGCAGAGTGACAGCTCCCTGTGATTATGAATTCTGGCTTGCAACTCTAGTCCAAATAGGAGCTGAACTTTCAAAATCACAGTGGTTACTTTTGACAAATTAAACTGTCCTACTTAGGAAGGTAGAAAGAATGAAGAGAAAGAAAGTAAGAGAGTGGAAGCAAATTCTCCTTGGAGGAAATTCTCAGTTTGACGAAGAAAAAAAGAGAAAGTATGATGTTTGCATTTTTCTAGGCTGATGATCCTGCCAATGCTTATTAGAAAATAGGTAGAGAAGGTTCCTGTTGAGAGGTGGAGCATGGAAGACACTGGAACTATAGCTCACTATCTCAAAGGAAGGCAGAAAACATTTTAAGGGAAGGTTAATTTTTAGTAAGAATTAGTTTTCTCTCAAACCCCTGTAGTTTAAAATTAATTATAAAGAAAACAGCCTTACTTCTCTAACAATCTGAAAATCATAAGAAATAGTTTGAACATAAAATACATTTTACAGCTTACTGAAATTAGGTCAGGTTATATCAATATATTCTTTTCCTATTAAATGCAATTCCTTTCCTTTATATGTTTTATGTGTATTTTGCTGGTTTGGGTATCTGAATACCACAACAGGCAACTCTACTGAGAAGTTCTGCTGAATAGATAGTCTAGTGTAGTTCCATAACCAGGAGGAAATGCTAGGTAATTTTCTAATGGAGACCAGAATATGAGTAGATAGAGTAAGGAAAATAGTGTTTAATATTGAAAATAAAAAATAAGGTTCACACTCTCTGACTACTAGAAAATTTTACTAGATTTTCTCTAATTTGACATATCCAAATGTATACCTTCAGGATCAATTTAGGACTGTATAAATGTGTAAATATTGGGCTAGGCATAATGATCTATGTCAGGAAAGGAGTTGAATTATGAAATACAGAGAACACCCAGACAGTGAACAAAGGTTTCAAAGGCTGTGGTAGCAGGAATGATGATTCAGTCCTGGCCTATAGTTTTATGAGATTTTACCATCATTCATCTGAAGATCTTCTGAAAATTTTCATCTTCATCCTTTTCATTTATGCCAGATATCTTGAGCATCATTTCCATCCTTAATTGTCTGTGTGTGTGTGTGTATGCGTGTGTGTGTGTATGCATGTGTGTTAATGTCTGCATGTTGAAGAGGAAGCTCAGGGCCTTCCTTACACTTGCTAGGCAAGTGCTCTACCACTGAGCTACACTTCCTGCTCCTTAATTTTGTAACTCAACAACTATTAGGTCAACTGTGTATAGAGTATAAATGAATAAAATACAAGGGTAAGGGATTTGTCTTATTGTTTTAAGAAATGTAAATAATATAGATAGGTTAAGGTGGACTGGAAATCCTGTGAAATGGGTTGGGGGTCCTGTTGAGTGGTCACAATGACTGGGAAATATAAACAGCAAACATTTCGTAGTACAAGGGATAGTCATGCAAACTAATAAAAAGTTGCTTGTCCCAAATATTAATGGTGCTTTTAATAGTACATGTTATAAGACATTGATATCTTTTGTGGACAACAAATATAATGATAAAGATGATTAAGGTAGTCAGTATCAAATGGTATTTAAAGCCGAGGAAGTCATGTGGACCAACTGAAAGCCTTATTCTTCCAAAGGTCTCTGATCAATAGGCTATAAATCCCCCTGTCCACGTCATCAGTTTAGCAGGTTACAGGAAAAACAGATTAGAATAGAATAATGGGATATTAAAAAGGTTAACCTACCCTGAGAATCCCTGGGGATTCTTGAGGAAGACCTGAAATTAATTCTTCTCATCTGTTTTACTAATTCAGGAGCCACCCTACTTTCTAAACAGCTCCTTAGTATCCTCAGTATTGTTTTGGAGGTTTCCAAACCTCTGGAATAATTTAGGGGTTCACACAGAGAAGGACCTTACAATATGTAGGATTTGCCCTCCGTTTTCAACTCAATCTTTAATTTTGCTTATAAGCTAAATGCAAAGTTAGTGCTAGTCTACATCGAGCACCATAAACCAGAAGCGGGGGCAGGATATGAATCATGATAAAAAGCACAGTATGGAAAATGTTTGGAAAAATACTATAACATAGAAGTACTGAGTGGGTGGCATAATAGCCTTCAATATGCCAAAATGGGAATTCTCAGGCAAAGCACTTACAAGGAAATCACAAGAAAAAGAAGACTGCACTTTTTGTTTAATGATTTCCTATTAATTGTGATGTAAATTATATGGATGTGATTTTGACAAAGAACAGCACTGTTTTAGAAAAAATAGTGGCTTATGTGCAAAGCACAAAATGTATCAAGAAGAAAAGAAGTGTTATTTGGCATCACGAGTATAATAAATTCTGAAATACTGGTTTAAGAAGAAAATATTTTTGTATCTAAACTCATACAGGTTTATAAGAACTTTTCATAAGTGATTCTTGAACTTGACAAGAAATGTGAAATCAGCTATCTTTAGTTAGATTACTTTAAGACCATTACTCTAATAATATTTTTGTTCATGTGGGCAGCTATCTACATAAGAAATAGCTAACAGTCAACAACCTGGATCAATGTGGCCAAAATTCTTTAGAGAGTAAAACGTCCTCATTTGCTGAGCCCCTGGGGAGTTTATAGCTTTTCTTAACTAAAATGATTCCCAAGGGACACTAAGGTCCACTGGACTCATAAACATCTTTCTTTAGGGGAGGCAAAAGTTAAAATAATTTTTAATAAAGGTAATTTAAAATGGTAAAATTGAAAAAGAAAGTCAACTTTTATTTGACCTTGATTGTACTTCTTATTCTATGAGAAATTTTTAAAAGCTAGAGGGTAGTTGTTTCTTGTCATTATACTGTTGCTGATTCTGTGGTTAGTTATTAATTTTATTTTTTATGATTCACAATCTGCTCTTTGAAATATGCCATATGTTCAGAGCAATTCAAGGATGACAACTGTCAGAATTACTCCAATAAAAATTGCCTAAATGAAGAAGATTTACTGCAGCCTGGTATTTCAGTAGAAAGTCCTTCTTCCCTCTCCAACAGCTTTTTGAGACACTGTGAATCTTGCTACCAGTTTTTCAGTCAATGTCACATGGTTTTGTAAGAATTTCTAAGACAAAGTAGAATTGGTAAAACACACTGCGCTAAGGGTGAATTAGCAGACATGGAAAACAATATAGAGAGTTATCAAATGGATTGTCTGCAATCAATATGTTAGCTCCAAGCCAGTTTTCCTAAATTGTATGAAAATGTATTGACTTAATATGACAACGTCTCCTCTCTGTATCACTAATAAATATTAAATTGAACAAGCCCTGTACCCTAGTAGCAAAAAGCCAAACTGAAGGCAAATTTCTTTTTTCTGTGTGAGGATCTGAGGAATGGAGGATTCTACCTGAGGGCTCCAATCAAAACATATTTTGTTAAATGTTACCAGTCCATTTATCCTTCATTTTACTTCAGCCTATTTATTAATACAGTTTCATTTATTGCTATTCATCTTGAAGATAAATCTTTGTCCTTCTATAGAATTACACCAAATAGAATGTGATAAAGGGAATTTTGTTGCAATTATGATGTCGGTGCAGCCTGTCAGCACACAAGGGATGGAAATGAGTTTGGGGACAGGGAAGAGAATTCTAATAGACACCATGATACATACAATGAAAGCAAAGATATCCTCAGAGAGAGCGAGGGAGAGGGAGAGAGGGAGAGAGAGGGAGACTTGTCAGGCTAATCAGATCTTCCACAGTAAAGTAAAGGCAGGAAGGGTAGCTCTAACCTTGTAAAGATGCTGCTGCTGCTCCTCTGACATCATCAGGTCGTGGCTGTCCATCACAAGGGACTCCATGTCAATCAGCCAATCCCAGAGCTCCTGGTATTCTGAATCAAAGTCCAGAAGCCTGAAGATAAGGCACAGAATGTATTATGCATAAATACAGTGTAGTTGTTAAAATCTCATATTAGAATAATATATTCTTGAAAACCCATGATGTTACTAGGCGATACCTGTAAAAAGAGAAAGGAAAAATTTTCTGTGTGTAGTGACACAGTAGGTAAAACAGGAACTCAAGGCTGCATCACACAGCAACCTCCTAGATTTTGAAAATATAACACATAATTCCAGTGCTCACATCTGAGACATGTCTTGGCTATCTCCACTTGCTAATTCTTTCTGAAGATTTGCAGCACTTGAACAAAATGACCACGACTATGTCCTTGGAAAACACTGCCATTTAACACATTGAGAAATGGAGGATCAATGATCTCTTGACAGTTCCATGGTCCAGAATTTTGTAAAAGCAGTACCTTCAAAATTTGAACTGCTTTCTCATCCACAAGATATTGCACAGATACTGTATCTCAACGATTTATATAAAGAATACTAATTTAAATAATTGTATACAATAACAATATCGTATCAGATCCAAAATATTATTTTCACTGGAAAATGACTCAATCATTTATTTGCCCCTCTGCTGTCTATCTGCCTATCTTGAGAACATATATCCTACATTTATTTTTATGGATGAGTAGCCAGCATTTCAGCTTAACACTCAGAGATAGGCTTGAGTGACTCTGGTAAGCCAGTGAGAACCAGTGGCAGATCCAGTATTAGACAGGTGTTCCCCACAGACATGTAGGAAACAAAGGTAAGGACAGGAAGTCAAAACAATGAATCTTTGAATAGCCAGCAATCATTAAAATTCAAAGGAGGATCACTATGGTTTTCAACAAAATAAATCATTAGAATAAGGAGCTTAAAAGGATTAATGTGATTCGCTATTGAAAGCCTGGTGAATAAGTAAAGCCCAGATTCTTCTAAAACACTGTGATCAGAAAATGAAAGAGCAGATGAAAAACTATGACTTTGTACCCCTGAAAGAAATACTACAGTGTTGCCAAACTCTAATTGAGCAAAACCCTATCATTACTAATGAGGCAGGAGCCTTCAGTATGAATCTAGATTTATCATCTGAGTATTTTATAACTATCTTGTTCTTGTCTCTATACACTAGACAGGTTTCCAAAAAATTGAATCTCCAGTTTTAATAACATAATTTAATCTTAATAGATCTGTCAAAAATATTTAGAGTGTGCCTGGTCATAGGGAATCTAGATCTAGAACTATTTTAATTACTTTATCATACTTATAAAGATCCTTGATTAGGAACATAAGCACCTAAGGTCAAGTACCATTATTGGCTAGCATGAAATTGATTAATAACTGTTTACTGAATGCCAGTGATAGGTACATTTGATGTAGTCAAAAAGGCTATGGGTGACATAAAACAGTGTTTTTCAAACTTACATACATGGCATTTTTAATAGAAATGAAGTATGTTTTTGTCAGCTACTCCTCAGAGAGAGGACTAATATGTAGAATATATGAAGAACACAAAATATTACACCTACTGAAAATAAAAGACCCAATCAAGAAATGGTCAACTAAAATGAATAAATACTTCTCTGAAGTACAGATGGCCAATAAATACATGGAAAATGTTCACTATCTGTGGCACTAGAGCAATGTAAATTAAAGCAACGGTGAGATTTCAACTCACTCCAGGAACAACAGCTACCATCAAGAAATCAAATTAATAACAAATGCTGGGGGTGCTGCAGGGAAAAGGAGCCCTTCTACATTTGTTGGTGGGAATATAAACATGTACAATCATTGTGAAAATCAAAGTGATTATTCAAAAAACTAAAACTAGAAATTCCATTTTGCCCAGTTAGGCCCCTTCTAAGTATCCCCCTTCCCCGAGAGTTAGAGACATCATATTACACTGAAACTTTCATAGCCATGTTTATAGCAGCACAACTCATAATAGCTGGAACTTGAAAGTGGTCTATACGTCTGTCAGCAGATGAATGAATAAAGAAAATGCATTTGTACACAATTGAACACTACTTTTCAATAAAGATGGATAATTCTAAGTTATCTGTGGGAAAACTGATGCACCTTGAGACCATGCTAAGTGAAATAAATCAGACACAAAAGCTTAAATATTGCAAGCTTTTTCTTATATGAAAAACACAAAGCATAAATACTTAAAGAGCAAGACGAAAGATATATAGGAAACAGAGAAATCTTTTGCAAATGTGAAGGGGACCAAGAGATAGAGGAAAGAGGAAGGGAGAGGTAGGGAAAGAGAAGTAAAAAGAATTAAGATGTTCAGCTTCTAACTCCAAGTTCTTCTTATTACACATTATGTACATGTACCAATTCCCAATGATGAATATAATCAGTATGTACCGCAGACATGTACGAATAAAAACTAAAATCTGAAAGAAAAAATTTAAAAGAGAAACAACATGAAGGTAGGGAGAAAGGAGGGGCTCAAGGTTGTGCATTTGTAATAAGCGATGGCAATGTTGTTGGTCCACGGACTACACTTTGAGTAACAATAACCTCCAGCCTATATGTGAAATCTGATCTAGTACTCTATTTCAAAATAACTAAGAAACAAACCAAGCATCATAATAGGGGCAAACAAACTATCAGGATTTCTTTATTAACTCTGCAACTAATATAGAGTAACTTGTTTTCATGAAAGGTATAGCTATTTAGGAATTACTAAATTATGGTCACCATTTCTCTTTCTTTGGATCTTCATATATTTATTTTCATTAGTATTTGTTGGAGATAAATAAATACATTCATTGTGGAGAACTGCTGCATATACATATTGTACCTTGATTCTTTATACTTCAACTTCCTGTCCCCTTCTTCCGGTCTCCACCCATACATTATCCCCTTCACATTTTCACAAAGTCTATCTCCCTGCTTCCTATCATCTATCTTTTCTTTTTCTCTTGAAATTATTTATTTTGATTTTTCATATAAGAGAAACCATAGGAGTTGACTAGCAAGCACAAGGTCCTGAGTTTGACCCCCAGTACCGAGAGAGAGAGAGAAAGAGAGAGAGAGAGAGAGAGAGAGAGAGAGAGAGAGGGAGAGAGAGAGAAACCACATAATATTTAACCTTCTGTGTCTCATTTATTTCATTTAACATCATTATAGTCTCAAGGTGAATCTGTTTTCTACCTTCATATATTTTAATCATAAAGACAAGTGAAATGCTACCCACAAAATTAGGAGACTATGATCCAGGGGGATTACTAAAAGCAAAGCAAGGAAAAAACTCAACCCTTCCATTTAAATTGCTTTGGAGATTAAGAAGGAATAAGGGTAGGAGGAGCAAGCACTCCCAGATATGTTCTCTCTGCTCTTGATCTGTACTTACAGGTGAGGTACATGGGAAAGGTTAAGAGGAAAGCCAAAAGCACAAGAATGTCAGCTCCATTTCCTGCAAGACATTCTTAGGGAGATTACCTTACATAGTGTTCCCACAATAGATGAAGTGGGTATGTTGGGCGGGCAGGACAGAGAACAAGCTTTGGTTAGTACACCTTTCTTTCCCTGTTTTCTAATTTCTCTAAGACAAAACTCCAAGATTGCCTGAAAATTCAGCTGGTAAACTGGCAACAAGGGAATAATGAACCCAAGGACAGCTAGACAGGCCTCCAAAGCGACACCTCAGAGAGTTGATAGGGCCAGCGAAAGCTGAGAATAGGCTTAGGAAGAAATTTCACTGGGGTCTGCCAAGCCAAGAGATAATAAAAGCTAGACTAGCCACAATTCTCCACTAGGGTCAAGACTTAAATGATGAACCCAGCCAGCCTGTACCCAAGCACTATGTTAAACCAGGAGACCCCACTGTATCCCAGAATCAGAAAGTCCCTGTAAACTCCTATTTACTCAGATGTCACCTTGGCGATAAGAATGAAGAGGTTCAAGAAGTCTGAAAATGGAGCAATAATCCCAAAAAGTTATTCACTAAAGCGATTATTCCCTGAGAATGTTAATTAATTAATTAGGGAGCCTATAATGAGTTTAATAGCCTGAACTCCCATTTTAAGCAAGTCTTTCACTTGCTTTCCCAAAAAGTATGAGGACAGATGTGTCATAAAAACTACCAATCAGCAGGGGAAAATAAAAGTTGTTTTCTTTTTGTACACATTTACAATAGAAAAAAAAAACTTTGATTATGACTAAGCAATTCAAAGGCCAGAGATGAATTTATTATCTTTGTATCCCCAGTTTTGAGGATTGCACCTGGCAAATTACAAGGAATTAACAAAAATAATGAATCTAAAAACTTTCAGTATGGTAAGGATGACTTCCAAAGAGTAGCTAGTGATAGAGATGTCCCAAAAGCCAAAACCAAAGCAACCAAAGATAGCCTTTTCATTTCTCCAGAAGAGTCTGTTTTCATCGTAGCTAAGATTATTCAGGTTTGATATTTGGTTTGTTAGACACAGTCAATGCTTTGGTGCCGTATTTTGACTCATCAATGTAGAATCAGCACCAGTGTTCCAAACACATAATTCTTACAATGCTCCAATGACAAAAACTTTTAAAACTCAGAACACAAAAGCTTTTTTAAAAGAATCTGTGCCCGATAATTGTGGTCATGTGTAATTCACAAGTTTGGAAAAAGCCTGAGATTTTTCCAAATTTAATGAAATTAAATATATAATGCATTGTAGCAAATGAGAAATGAATTACTGGATTTCTGTGATCGTTCTTGTGGAAGTTTCTGAAAATGACAACTATTTTAGGTGCATGTTATATCAGAAAAATTCTTAGGTAAGGAAACAGTTAAGTTTCTTGTTTTTGTTATTTGCAAAGTATGTATTTTTCATGTCCTCTAGGAAAAGTGTCAGCTACTGTATAGGTAAACAGAAAAGATCACAGATGAGTACATTTATCCACAATGTCATAGAACTAGTTAGCAGCTTTAAATCTCCTTGAATTATGTGCCAATTCTGTTAGCTGAACTCAGAAGCATATTCTTGAATTTCTGGTGACAAATGCTCTAGTCTCTCATTTTGA